CCATTGCACCTATACACTACTGTTGCTGCATTTTTGTAGCACACACTTGAAGCTAAAACCAAGAGATTAAGATTTTATCAGACTATTTGGAATGACACATTGAATGGCAGATTGCATTAAAACTTCAACTCAGTGCATCAGGTGCTGTCCCCTTTATCAAAGCCCTTGAGACCATTAATAATCACAGTAATGGCAACTATAACTCTATGTACTAATTTAAACATAGCAACTATATTTCTACCTTCCAAAGTGTGTATGCTCAGCTGTATATTGATTTTTGGTTGTTGTTGTTGTTTTTTTCAGTTTTCTGCCTGTGCTTGAACTTTACATTTCAAAGTAAAATATTGTACTGTTTAGTGAACTAGATTCCTCTGATAACTTTAGGTTTATAGATTATAGGTTATGGATTATAGCTCTGTAGACCTCCCAATGTACCCAGTAAACCACAATGTTATACCCTTCTTAAAAGGTTTATTTTTGTTAAGGTGCAAAATTCTCTTCAGATTTTCAAGATTGGTTTCTATAAAGTTCAAGTCATGAGAGTATAGAGAGAGTGTGTGTGAGCTGTTTGGCAGCATAATGTACTATGTGAAGAACTTGAGCCAGGAGAAGCAGTGTGATGCTCTGCTTATTAACATTAAGAAAAATAAAGAATTGTGTCAGGCTTTTAATGTTGCTTTTTACGTTATCAGAGAAAAAAAAATCACACTATCTTGAGTCCCAGTTATTCCAAAGTGGCCTGTATGTAGCCGGTTAGTGTTGTGATGTATGGAAAGACATGCAGGACACTGATTTTAAAAGACTTATTTTCTTGTGATTTGCATAAAGGAAATGTAGCAGAATGCTATTATGGTGGAAATAGACTTATATCTAGAAAAGATAGCTGACTGGTTTCCCAGCAGCCAAATGAGCCCATCATATACCACATGTCAAATAGTATGTAGGTTTTATTCATCAGTTTAAAACACTGGGCGTGCTTAAATCATATAGTAGATTCTGTTAGAATAAATTATGAACTATTCAGTTTTATTTCAAACATAGTTTTGCCTGCTACTGAATCAAAAAGTTATAAAAGAAGTAAAAGAGCAACAAATCTAGCATGCTTGTATTGTCCTTGGTATACATGCTGAATCTAACTTATTAGCCAGATAAACACCTTCAAACCAGAGACTCTGAAGACATTGGACTCCTTGTCCATAGGTTTATTGGCATCAACAACATGCTCACTTTTCATACATTCAAATATACATTGTAAGCATATCAACTTAGTATTTAAAATAAAGTCCCTGTATAGTTGTTGTCTTTTACTGTTATGAGTTGTAATTATTTGTTCTATTTTTTAACTTCAAAATATAATATATGACACCATATTTTAACATAAAACGATTGTTTGTGCTTCTGTGTATTTGTAATTACAATTCTACAGTTCTATATCTGACAGCGGATACAACACAACCAAGGATCTAGTCAGGAGAAGACAACCTGGATAAGTGTCACAGGACAAGTTCAAGTGTGTTAGGGCGTTGATGCCAATAGCAGGCTGTCTGGGAGGTCATAGGAAGTGTTTTTTTTCTTTAGGCTGTCAAGTGCAAAGGTGTTGAGTGAAGAACTGGTATACTTACTGTTATATGAGCATTTAGGGAAATATAAACAAGCAGTCTTTAACAGCAGTAGCTGGAGAAAGTTTCTAACAACAGATTTCACAAAATGCAAGTGTTCCAAAAATACAACTTTACACTCATACATAAAGGCAATATAAATCACCACATCCCCAAAAAGACCAACCACTTTGGCTGTTTCTTTTGAAAACACCTCAAGAATCCCCAAATAGGAAAAGTAGGTAAGAAACAGGACTGATTACAGGGAGCAGTGGTTAGAACAGTTTTATGTCGAATGGTTGATTGAGGAGTGGAAGACCTGGAGTGGAAGACTGAGGTGTGCAGGTGACTGACTGGTGGCTGCGAGGGCATATCAGCCAAGAATGAGATTTACTGGAAGACTACGGAATTCATCTTCCACACCACCATTAAAGTAATTAGATTTTTATTGTAGGACTATATATTAGTAAAAATAACTTGTGGTTTTGTAAGTAGGATTAAAGGACTCCATCTGTAATTTTGTTATACCATCTTTTGATGCATGGTGATAATGAAAATGAATCGTGAATTGTTTTTGTTAGCCAGACAATGACCTATAGCATTGTTTACAGACAACAAGGTCAATGTTCTGGAGTGGTAGTCAGAGCCCTATTTTGAGTCCAGCTGTGAATTTGTGGTTGGCCTTGAAAAGTTCTTTTCACTTACGATCTCAGTGCAACCTAACAGTTTTGCAGGAATGGGGTAAAATTGCAGTGTGTTACGAACAGGACAAAGACTCAGGTGCAGGACAACAAGGCACGACGACAGAGTCAGGACATATGTTCTTTAATAACAACAATGGTTTTACAGAAACTAAAGTCGCTGACCAGAACAAGGTAAACTGAGCTTGGAAAGGATTGAAACCGAAACTAAAAACTTCTGCGAATCGCTAGCGAATAACTGATTAAATTCCACAACACATACAAACTACGGATAACTAATGGACAGAAAAGCTTACTGACACACAGGCTAACGAACAAACAGCAACACAGTCATTTAAACTAGCATCACGAGGCACATTACTCGACCGGGGCTGGATTGCGAGGAAGAGGGGTTCCAGGCAGACGGAGAGAGGCGAGTGGCAGACAGGTGGAAGGTTGGAGGGATCCAATAGACGGGTTGTCCGGGTTATGGCAGAGGAAGACAGGCGCTCCAACTGGAATAGAGAAAATGGTCAGAATGCGGCCAACACTCAGACGGAAGAGCTGAAAAGATCAGATAGGACTAACAAGGCTGTTTTTACGATCTGGCGCCGTGTCATGGTCTGGAAGAGGCTTTTATCCGTTTGAGGAGACGCTGCAGGTAATCACTCCCAGCTGATCTCATCAGCTGATTGTGAACTGCTTCCACCTGTCATGCCACGCCGCCACTCACCAGGAGAGAAGGAGGGAGAACTGCCACTAGCTGACAGCAGAGGGCGTAACACAATGTCCAGATGTGCAAGCCTGATTGAACAACTAAGTCTCACGGCAATTTGTGAAATAGTCACGAAACTTAATCTATTGATTTGTGTCTAGGGACACAAATTGTCCAATTTTTTCGTGTCCCCCACCACGAATTTCAAACCATATTTCAGTTGGACTTATCTTTTGTGTCTGGGCCACGTTTTTCTTCCCTATTAGACAGCACATGTGCTGTGATGTTTTTGTCGTTCTTTTCTTCTGACAGTCAGGCATTAACCAGTCTTACTGTTATGGCCCGTCCACACTAATAACTATAGAGATCACTATACAGATGTGTGCGGCCACACTGATGAACGTTAACATTCTGTAAACATCGGCACTGTGTATAAACTCTGTAGTCATTCAAATAGAAAAGACAAGAAATATATCCAGGCAGAGAGAAGCTGTTCTGAGATCGACGATACCGTTCATGGCTATTGTCGTTTATTTGTGAGAAAATATAAGTGCTTTTACTGTGTTTGGGCTACATGCTCTTCGTTACTCTGTAAACAAATACAACTCTGAAAAGAAGGACACATGCACATTTTATCACATGTACACATGTATATTTTATCACAAACAAAGATAATTCCAATTGAAATGCATTGGTTTGAAATTCATGTTGGAGAACTAGGAGCCGCTTCGTTGGCTCGCGTTAACCCCCACTCAACGCACTGGGCTCTCGGCTCTGCCTCCCTACCTCTGTTCACAAAACCAAACTTAATAAATTCAGGGTTGTACTTGTGCACATATGTCGCTTTTGAGGAGGGGGTGGCATCACTTCCATCTTCATTTTTTCTTTTTAGAAAAGTTTTTAGAAACTTTTCCATAATTGCAGCTGGCTGCTGCTGTTTGTTGGAGCGTGTTCAACAACTTAATGACGCATCACTGCCAACAAGTGGTGGGAAGTTTCCCGCCACTTGTTGGCTACTTCATGCATGGTCAGGTGGCCCTCGCAACCCACAGATGCAGAATTGAAAGTTTTTCAGTGATTCTTAAACCATGGGGCCGCCTACTGGGCTGCGGCCTCATGTTTGAGAATCACTGACTTAGACAAAGTCTTGGCATTCTGAAATACCTTGCTAGATCCACAACTGTCCAACAATTATTCTGACTCACCATAGGTAGATGGCAGGTATAAACCTGCAAGTGGCAGATAATGTCAGTGGGCATTCTCCCGCCCATCCACTCATTTTACATTCGCTTTACATTTTTCTTAGCTCTGGAAAACAACAACAGCAAGTTCTGAGCTGTAACCTACCACACTGTAAATGAAACTTAAACAGGAAAATCTGCAGAGGATTCGAAATTGTGCAGTCAAACAGCTTTGCTAGTTTTTTTGGTGGATTGCCCATTTTAATCTATTCTCTGTGCAGTGATTTTCTCTCTGCATGCAGATGTTTCACCACAAAAATTCCAGCTGTTACTTTTTGGAATGAAAATACTGCTGGACAGAAATATGTGCTGTTAGGAAAGATGGATTTTTAAAAACAAATTTTGGTGACTGAAATGTCACAGACATGGACTTCAGGGCTAGTAGGACTAAGTTAAACACTGTTTCCATTCTTTGAGAGGAGGTGGAAGGCAAATTAGGCATAAAAATATCTTTGTCCATCTTGATAGATTGCAATGCAATACAGGAAGAATGAAAACAGACTGCTTCCTGAGGAAGCTTAAATCATTTTTTTACAAGATGTTGCAGTAGTTTATCCTTTAATTGCATTGTTTGCTGTCTATGTTAAACAGACTCATAGTCAAAATAGACTATAATTTTAGGTCAATGCTAAATGGATCTGCTCGTGAAGAGAATCGCCAGTTCAATCAACAGTTTTTTCTCATTGTATAATTATTTCTTTTTACTTGATGCTGTTATTGTTGTGATGTCATGCAGATCTCTCTTCACTGAATTTAAAGGCTGGCAATGATGATGTCAGACAACTTGGAGCTGAGTGATGATGTTGGTGTTCTGCCCCATCATGAGGTGGAGCCTGCCAGGGAGGAGGATGGACACTGCCCCTTGCCCTTCAGGTAAGACACTGCATGGTAACTACATACACTGAATATTAATATATAATATCTGTGAGGAGAGTAAAGAGTTTTAGGGAAAAAATACTGAAAAAAAACCAAAACAAACCAGATTGGTTGGTTTTTATGGGCCAACATAAGAATGGAGACATAATTATTCTATGCCAGAAAAAGAAAAATGGGCCCAGAAAGTAAAGTGTGGAAGGTATGCCAGCACAGTCGTGTGGGTTGTTTTAAGCTTGTTAACTTTTATTTTGTTGTTCATTTCGTTGTTGTTTTTTCAGTTCGACATTGTGAGCTCCATTCATTTCTGGCAATTGAGTCATAAAGTTTTAGTCCATATGTCCACAGGTTTTCAAATTTTTCAAATCACTTTGGTATCCTGAACCTCACAGTGTCCAGCAAATAGGCTAATGAAGGCTTTTTGAACAGTTTTGAGGCTGTTCATAGCTGTTTATGAGTATGGCCTGGGACATGGCCACATGCGTGCAACATGTCTGAGTAGTAACTCTCATGAGTTAGCAGTGGGACTTATGTTACACATGTTTTTGTGACCACTAATAGGTGCATATCTGCAGTTTCTTCAGGATTTCAGGAATTATTCCCTCAGGGTCAAACTGTCCTTAGGTATCTAAGGTAAGCATTCGGCCTGAGCTTGGCACAAGGAATGCATTTGCTTCAATACGCTGTGTGCCCAGTCACAGGGCAATGATTGTGTGCTGGGTTTTTAGCAATACTACTCACTAGATTTGGCTCCCAGTGACTTTTTCTTCTTCTCCAAAATGAAAGTGAAAGGATCACAGCAATTTCTCAAGTCTCTGTAGGAGCCACCTGCTCCCTGGGACCAATGTTGTTGTGACAGATGGTACAGCCTGTTTTTATTCCTTTTCCAAGGGGATGTCCTCAGCCTGAAATTACATCAGTAATCCAAAATCAGGTCCTTTATTTTGTGGGAACGTGGTGCCTGGTGTTGTGCAAGTTCAACCAGTTTATGTGGTATGGACCCAAACACATTGGCTAGGTCCAACCATAGAGCATCTAGGTCAGCTCTGTTTTCATGAGCTTCTCTGATGAGCTGTGTACGTACCACAGGTACTCCACAGATGACTTTGTTCATTTGTGAGTTCAAGTGGTGCTTTTACTTTGAAAGGTAAAGGTTTAATCCACTCCTCCAGTCACTTTCTATCTGCTGGCCTAATCATTGTTGCATAAGTGTGAATTCTGCCAACCTCTTCTATGGAGAGCTCCAAAATCCATCAACCTAACTATTGGTATGATCATTTGGTTGTAGTTATTAATTTAATTATAAATCAGAATATCAAAATAATAGACTAGTGTATTTGTGAGACTATTTTTTACAGAGAATCATAACCTGTAGCATCTTTTGGTGTGCTGTGCGAGACATAGTAGTACCACCTACAGTTGTGTAACTGCAGCAGTGTGCTCCAAGCAACTGCAGACTTCTGGCATTGAGAGGTCCATGTACTTGTTTTTTGCGAGAAACTTGTTCGGTATTCTGGACACAATGCTTAAAAAAATCTTACTTTCTGCACTTTGAAGGGAGATTGTTTGGAGTTTTATCTTTCTGGGAATCCAAACTCCTTCAGCGCACCTCCACTGATCTACAACTCTCTCCCATTTGACATATCACCTTCTGAATCTTCCATACCTGATGCAGGGGCTCATGTAGATTGTGTGTTTCCTCTTCTTCCACACAGTCTTGGAAAAGTGACTTCCAGCATGATCAGCTGTTTACTCACGTTAGAGATGAGTATAAAATAAAAAAGAAAATTGTCAACTACAGCATAGTTTTTGTTTCAGTTTTAATGAACCGCTCACATACAGAGAAAGCCCTTGTTCACGAGAAATGCTTCAGTCCCAAAAGAGCATTTCAATTAATTTGACAATCTACTGGTAGTCTCAACTTGTACATTTGAGAACATGTATAGATGCATAGGATGGGGAGAAAAAGAAACCCACTTTTTCACATTTTATGGAATGAAACTTAACCCTAACCCACACATGCAGAAGATCCACAGAGAAGGAAAGACTCAATGTCTTTGCCACTGCTCCGTTATTCCTGTCACATACTAAACAAGCTGCAGCAATGGCTGCACAGAACAGACTGTGTGTGTGTGTGTGTGTTTGTTTGAGTGTGTGTGTGTGTGTATGTGTTTGTTTGAGTGTGTTTGTGTGTGTGTATTTGTTTGAGTGTGTTTGCCTGCAGCACGTGCAGTTAGCTCACGTTTCCAGGCAGCAGAGCTCCGAGAAAGACTGAAAGGCTGATGTGACAAAGACGGAGATGTGAGTAGCTGCTGTTCAGTTAAATTTGCAAATAGACACACAGCCCAAAGCTTTCAGTTCAGTAAAACTTTTTTTTAAAATGATAAACTCAGAAACTGTGTGGTCTGTCCTTCACAGTGGTGGAAGGCTAATGAGTTGAAATTTCCCTCTCTGTCAAGGTTAGCAAAGTCCTACCTATGTATTCCAAGCACTTCCACTCCAGCTTAGCAGCTGTTTACTGCTCTACAAAAAGAGCAAGCCTAATCCCTGAACATGTGGACATGTTGAGTCTATAGGTTGACAATGGGTAAAAAAAAAGAATAATAATAATACGCCTCTCTTTTTGAAATCAAATTAGTCTGTTATCTTGTTCCATAAGTGTGTTGTGACTACTTTATACATATAAAAATAAAACAGTGAACTACTATGTACAGTGATCAAAAACAGACAAATCAAACTTACCAGGGAAGTACGCTAGTGAGGGTAAGCAGGCGTGCTGACTAAACAAAAGACTAGGTTAACAATACAAAGAACCCCTAAATACAACTAAATTCATGGAGCTAAGAACTTTTGTATGTAGGTCGAGGATTCTAAGTTCTGTATTCTGAACGCCATTGAAGAGAATCTTCTATGCATGGGATGATCTCTTTTGGTGGTATTATAATGTAACAATGTTAAATACAATACAGAGAAGCATTTGCAGAATACAAATGCTTTAAATGACTTTTGCTGAAAAATGAACATAACGTGAATATTGTGTTTAAAATTTGTGTGGTCGTAGGCTTTTACTCTTTTAAGAAATGCTGTTTAAACAATTTTCTAATTTGTCTGCATGGGTGTGAACCTCCCTCTCCTGCTCCAGTTTTCCCACACAGGCTGAAACAGTTTGCATAATTAATTCTTTTATCTTGTTTTCGCATGAGAGAAAACCATGTCTGCCCTCCCAGCAGCATACACACACACGAAGCTCTTCATGCTTCACAGTGCCAAACTAAAATCAGTGGGTGAGGGGAATCCTCCTATTTGCAGTTCATTTCTCCATGCACAGTTAATATTGCTCGTGTGGTATGAACTGTGGCCAGTGTTTGTCATTTGAATTTCTTTCTGCGTGAACTGTTTTTCTTCAAAGTTTACCTCAGGAGCAAAACAAATGGTTTTGAAAACATGGATGTGGAAAGACACAACAGAGGCCTGTTCTTCAGTGACAGTGTCAGGGATTGTTGTCTTTAATATTGTTACATCCCAGCTTTGCTAGGGTTAAGGGTTTCTGCTTTGGTAAAGCAATTCATTCTTCAGTGACATAATTAATGGAAAAACGGTGCTAATACTGCAAAAAAAAAAAAAAAACAGGGCTTGTGGGTGTTGCTAAATCAACGAAACAAATAAAACCAAATAAG